GCACTGTCGGAGGGTCAGTACTGAGGGAGTGCCGCACTGTCAGAGGGTCAGTTCTGAGGGAGTGCCGCACTGTCAGAGGGTCAGTTCTGAGGGAATATTGGAGAACGCTGTGGCCTTAGTGGCCTCATGATCTTTGCTGAGCAGTTGTGTCACAGTGTGAGTCCAGCGTGGGTGATTGTATATTTTCAGTGGTACAGAGTTGATGAAATGAAGTGTTTCTATTGAATGTTTCTGTGATTCTGTTTTCTGGTGTTAGATTAAACTGAAGTTGTGTCTGTTTATTCAGGGTGGAAACTAATGATCAGAATTAATTGTATTCCTTGTCCAGATATAATATTTGTTCTAAACTGACCTTAACATGGTGACAGATGTTCTGCTGATTGATGAGCAATTTGGAAAGTTGCTGTTGGTGAAGTGGTTGATGTGTTAGTCCTGGAATTCTGCTTCAATGTGTGTTCCACTGGCTACACTCAAGCATCTTTGCCATTTCCTGAGATAGTGTAATTTCTGTAGAAAGAGCTGATGCTCTTTAAACAAGTCAATTCTCACTCTGCATCAGGTTTCTGGTCAGGTTCTCTCTGTACAAGCCCAGCCTCAGCACTTTGCTTGGTGTCTCCGTGTTCAAAAACTGAGGCTGTTGGTATTAATCAGCCTGGTGATCTGTTGATCTACACTGAGGGCTGATCATTCCAATCAAATGTGAGTTTCTCGAGTCTTAGAGTCACAGAGCCATAAAGCACAAAAACCCTTTGGTCCAACTTGTCCACACCAATCAGAAATCCCAATCTGACCCAGCCCTATTTGCCAGCATTTGGCCCATATCCCTCTCACCCCTTCCTCCTTGGGGCATGAAAAAGCATTGGTGGGTAGGATTAAGGAAAACCCCAAGGTGTCTTATGCTTATGTGAGGAACAAGAGGATGGCCAGAGTGAGGGTAGGGCCAATCGGGGATAGTGGAAGGAACTTGTGTGCAGAGTCAGAGGAGGAAGGGCAGGTCTTTAATGAATACTTTGCTTCAGTATTCACCAGTGTGAGGGACCTTGATGTTTGTGAGGACAGCATGAAACATGCAGATATGCTCAAACAGGTTGATGTTAGGAAGGAGGATGTGCTAGAAATTTTGAAAAACGTGAGGATAGATAAGTCCCTTGGGCCAGTTGAGATATACCTCATTTTCCTGTAGGAAGCGAGGGAAGAGATTGCTGCCCCTTTGGTGATGATCTTTGTGTCCTCACTGTCCACTGGAGTAGTACCAGATGATTGGAGGGTGGCAAATGTCATTCCTTGCTGAAGAAAGGTAACAGGGATAATCCTGGGAATTACAGACCAGTCAGTCTTACTTCTGTGGTGGGCAAATTATTGGAGAGGATTCTGAGAGATAGTATTTATGATGATTTGGAAAAGCACAGTTTGATTAGAGATAGTCAGCATGGCTTTGTGAGGGGCAGGTCATGCCTCATAAGCCTTATTGAATTCTTTGAGGATGTGACAAAACACATCGATGAAGGTAGAGCAGTGGATGTGGTGTATATGGATTTTAGCAAGGCATTTGATAAGGTTCCCTATGGTAGACTCATCCAGAAAGTAAGGAGGCATGGGATTCAGGGAAATGTGGCTGTCTGGATACAAAACTGGCTGTCCAATCGAAGACAGAGGGTGGTAATAGATGGAAAGTATTCATCCTGGAGCTTGGTGACCAGTGGTGTTCTGCAGGGATCTGTTCTGGGATCTCTGCTCTTTGTGATCTTTATAAACGACTTGGATGAGGAAGTGGAAGGATGGGTTAGTAAGTTTGCCAATGACACAAAGGTTGGTGGAATTGTGGACAGCGTGGAGGGCTTCCATACTAAACCTGTCTTCACTTACAGGATCCATATCCCTCTATTCCCTTCCTATTCATGTATTTGCCCAGGAGCTTCCTGATTGCTGCTATTGTGTCTGCTTCCACCACCACCTCCTCTGGCAGCACGTTTCAGGCACTCACTAACCTTTGTGTGAAAATCCTTCCTCACACATTTCTTTTAAACTTCACACCCTCTCCCCAGCACTTTGAACCTGTGTCCCCTAATAATTGACCCCTCCACCCTGGGAAAAAGCCTCATACTTTCCACTCTATCCATGCTATTCACAATCTTATATTTCAGGTCGCCCCTCAACCTCCTGTGTTCCAGCGAAAACAAACTCAGTCTACCCAAACTTCCTTCACAGTTAAAATCCCCCCATACCAGGCAACATCCTGGTAAACCTTTTCTGTACCCTCTCCAAAGCATCCACATCCTTCTGGTAGTGTGGTGACCAGAACATAGAACAGTACAGCACAGTACAGGCCCTTCGGCCCACAATGTTATGCCGACCTATTATTCTACTAAGATCAATCTACCCTGCATACCCTACATTTTACTATCCTCCATGTGCCTATCCAAGAGTCGCTTAAATGTCCCTAATGTATCTGACTCCATTACCACTGCCAGCAGCGCATTCCACACACCCACCAATCTTTCCAAGTGTGGCCGAACTAAAGTTCTATAAGGCTGCAGCATAACTTGTCTATCCTTATACTCAATGCCCCTTCCAATGAAGGCAAGTATTCCATGGGCCCTTTTTACCACCTTATCTACATGCACTGCCTCCTTCAGTGACCTGTGGACCCTGACACTCAGATCCCTCTACATATCAATAGTCCCATGGGTTCTGCTATTTACTGTATAATTTCTACCTGTACTTAACCTTCCAAAATGCATCACCTCACATTTGTCCGAATTAAACACCATCTGCCATTTCTCTGCCCATGCCTCCAACTGATCTACGTCCTGCTGTATCCTCTGACAATCCTCCTCACTATCCACAACACCACCAATCTTTGTATCATCCTCAAATTACTAATTAGACCAGCTAGATTTTCCTCCAAATCATTTATGTAGGTCACTTCAGTGGGAGAAACAGGTGTGCAGAGTATTTCTGAAATGGTAAGAGTTTGGAAAGTATAGATACACAAAGGGTTCGCTTGTTGACAAGTCACTAAAGGCTAACATACATGTACAGCAAGTTATGAGGAAGTCTAATGGAATGTTAGTGTTTATCACAAGAGGATTGGAGTACAGGAGCAGTGAAGTCTTGCGTCAATTCTACAGGAGCTTGCTTAGACCACACCTGGAGTACTGTGTGCAATTCTGGTCTTCTTATCTCAGGAAAGATATTATTGCCAGAGAGCGGGTGTAATGGAGGTTTAACAGAATTGTTCCTGGGATGGTGGGACTGTCCTATGGAGAGAGATCAGACAAACTGGACCTACATTCTCCAGAGTTTTGAAGAATGAGAGGTAACCTCATTGAAACTTACAAAATACTGAACAGTCAGACAGTGGAGATATAGGGAAGATGTTTCCCTCAGTTGGGAAACCAGAGAACACAATTTATAAACAAGGGAGATACCACTTAAGTCTGAGATCAGGAGAAATATTTTTACCGAGAGGGTTGTGTACCTTTGGAATTCTATACCAGAGAGGGCTGTGGAAAGTCAGTCTTTGAGGATGTTTAAAGCAAAGATTGTTTGATTTCAGTGCCAGTGGTGTACAGGATTATGGGGAGAGAATGGGCAAAAGGCACTGAATCATTTGACCATCCATGATTGTATTAAATAGTGGGATGGGCTTGATGGACTGAATGGCCTACTCCTGTTCCTATGTCCTTTGTACACACACGTACAGACAGACACAGAAAAACAAACAAACATTGGTAGAAGAAACATTTCTGGGGAAGCACAGTTCAATATGACCACAGGGTTCAATGAGGTGTCCCTTTTGATCTGATCTTCATATTTAAATCGTTTCAGTTATTTGCTGACGACACTGGGCAATTGGCATTTTAATTGTATGGTCTTTCAGTTACAGGTAGAGGCAAAAATTCGAAGTAATCGGTGAGAGAGAATGCTGAGCCATCCTTTTGGTTAATTCACTGCACAGATACAGAGAGACAGAGACAGAGACAGAGACAGAGAGACAGAGAGACAGAGACAGAGACAGAGAGAGAGAGACAGAGACAGAGAGAGAGGGAGAGACAGAGACAGAGAGAGAGGGAGAGAGAGAGACAGACAGACAGACAGATAGAGAGAGCCTTTCTCTGGTGCACTCTGGAGGTATCTCTGTCTGTATTGGTCTCACACTCTCTGTCCAGCTGCCCAGGAGCCAATCAGAGAGTTGTTACCATGCTGATGACTCCTGGACTCTACAACTGGTCCTGAATCCACAAACCAATCAGCATTCTGCTACTGGGTGGAGGTCTGTCTGCTCTCATCACACTCCCACGCTCTGGCTCATGTGTGTCTCAGTTATTTAATAATAAATTTTTGCTAATGTACACCCATTGTGTCGCACCAATTTAACTATTGTTTTACCAAAGACATAAACAGTTTCCTTGTTAAGGCTTTAAGTTTTGTAAAGTGTTGATGACCAATGGCGATGTGGAGGTGCCTGTGTTGGACTTTGGTGGACAAAGTCAGAAGGGGCTGCGCTCTGAAAGCTTGTGATTTCAAATAAACCCGTTGGACTGTAACCTGGTGTCGTGTGATTTCTTATAATTATTGAGGATGCTGCTGAATTATCCCAATTCTGCTCCTGACCACATCCATCAACAGATCCAGAAGGCGTTGTGTGACTGTGTGACTATATCGCTGGCGAATGAGAATAGGAGCTCTTGGAAACCAGGTGGAAGCTCCCGAAAATCAAAATGTAGCCCTGAAGAAAATCTCAGGAAGAGCCATCAGAGAACAATATATTTTGTGCTCTGGGCCGATTGGTCTCTTTCTGTTCCATTAGATAAACATACACTGCCAGATCTTTGTGTGAAATGCTGTGAGATAGTTTGACTAGCCCGTACTAGCAGTGTGTCAATGTACCTTTCTCTGCTGTGTTCAGGCAGGTTTCAGTTTCAGGAAGCTATGGATGTTCACAGGGCCTGGCTTTCTGATGAGTATTGCATACCTGGACCCAGGAAACATTGAGTCTGACCTTCAGTCTGGGGCAGCAGCAAGATTTAAGGTGAGTCCAATATCCTCAGGTTTAGATCGTGTTTATTAAACTCAGCATCAATCGCTGAAACTCACTGCCTTTGTTATTTCCAGCTGCTGTGGGTCCTTCTCTTATCCACGTTCCTTGGTTTGCTCCTGCAGAGACTTGCAGCCCGTCTCGGTGTGGTAACTGGGCTACACCTCGCTGAGGTCTGTCACATTTACTACCCAAAGGTAAGATCAGGGACTCAGCAGGGTACCAGTCACTTTGTAGCAGAAGAGGTACTGTTATCTCATTGGGTTTGTGTGGCCTTGCTGCACAGAAATTTGCTGCCGTGCTCCCTACGCAATAGCAGTTTACATTTCAACAGTTCTGAGGAAGGGTCACCGGACCCGAAACGTTAACTCTGTTTTCTCCTCCACAGATGCTGCCAGACCTGCTGAGCTTTTCCAGCAACTTTGTTTTTGTACATTTCAATAGTGTTGAACTGGCTGTGAAGTAGAACATGAAGATAATGAAAGGAGAAATGATTAGAATATAAGTTCATTATCTGATCTCCAACCACATCTCCTCCAGCAATCCCCTTTTCTCCAATCCTACTCTCCCCATTCCCCCGTTCTGATGTTCCTTCCCCCAATCCCCATACCTCTTTAACAATCTCTCAGAGATGCTCTGCTGATCTTGGGTCATGAGGCCCAGCTCCCCTCACTGCTGAACCTCCACAGGACTCCAGTGGCCATGTGCACCTCTCACTGGCCCTCACTTACTTCCAGTATCAAGTGCACCATCAGCCAGATACAATTTTTTGCACCTTAAGGTAAGGTTTCCCCATTGATCTTGGAACCCCAGGAGCAGGGTCAAATGGAGAATCCCTGTGATGGTTGGAAAGTCACCCAGCTATGCTTTGTGCCGAACCAGACACTTATGGGTCTGATAGCACCATCGAATTAACAACGGAAGCAGAGCTCTTAAAGATAGTGAACCAATAGTCCAGCAGTGAGGATGCAAATGCTGCTATCTATGAGCCAGAGAGAGACTGAGGATAGCTAGAGATAGAGGCTATCACTGGCTGACTCTCACCACAGTCTCCACTGTTGGCACCAGCAATCCTGCCTTTAGTGTAAGCACAATGTTGAATAACAGTTTACCTTACTCCAGCACTGAGGAAAGGTATATTCCCACAGATTCAAGATATTCCGGGTCGATTGCCCCTACAGAGCACTGAGGACCATTTGTAATTGTTACCTCAGCGACCAACTCGATTCTCAGGATAGAATCCAGCCTCTCCTGTTCACCAGGAACTTTGTGACTGAGCATGCCTGTATTTCTATCTTTCAGTATCCACGTTGCATACTGTGGGCAATGATTGAAATCGCCATCATTGGGTCTGACATGCAGGAAGTCATTGGCACAGCAATTGCCATCAATCTACTGTCCAATCAAAGGTGAGATGTACAGAGTTTCTCCAGTAATCCCAAAACTAAACAACACCTATTTCTCAGATTGGAGACGAGTTGTAAATAGTCTTACCCAGGGATAAGTTGTAGGGCCCTTGCTTCTTCTGATTTATATCAATGATTTGGAGATGGCCGTTGAGGGTAAAATCTGTAAATTTGAAGATGATACGAAGTTAGGGAAAAGAGTGAATTGTGAGGGTGATGTTGAGTGATTTCAAATGGACCTTGACAAGTTGGTCAAATGGGCAGAACCTGGCAGATGAATTTCAGCACAGAGAAACATGAGATAATGCATTTTGGTAGAAGAAACACAGAGACAATACAGGCTCAATGGTACAACTTTGAGGGGAATACAGGAGCAGAGGGACCTCGGGGTTCACTGATTCTCTAAGGGTAGCCGGGCAAGTTGAAACAGTTGTTAAGAAGGTTTACAGGATCTTTGGGTTTATAAATAAAGACATAAGAGTATAAAAGCAAGGAAGTGATGCTACACCTCTACAAATCATTGGTCACACCACATTTGGAGTATTGTGTTCAGCTCTGGGCACCTTGTTTAAAGAAGGATGTTAAATCCCTGGATTTATTAGTTGTCCACTTCTGGTCACCCTGTTAGAGGAAGGGATGTTATTAAGCTGGAGAGCATTCTGAAAAGATTTCCCAGGATGTTGCCAGGAATGTAGGATTTGAGTTGTCGGCGGAGGCTGGATAAGCCAGGACACTTTTTAATGGAGCTTAGGAGGGTGAGGGGTGACCTTATCGAGGTTCATAAAATCATCATCAAGTGAATGGCAGGTGTCTTTTCTCCAGGGTGGGGGATTTCATGACTAGGGGGCATATTTTTAAAGTGAGAAGAGAAAGATTTAAAAAGGACGTGAGGGCCAATGTTTTTCCACAGAGGGTGATTCGTGAGTGGAATGAACTGCCAGAGGAAGTGGGTACAATTAGAACATTTAAGACATTTGGTTAAGTACAAGAATAGGAAAGGTTTGGAGGGATATGGGCCAGGAGCAGGCAGGTGGGACTAGTTTAGTTTGGGATTATGTTCGGCATGGACTGTTTGGACCGAAGGGTCTGTTTCTGTGTTGTATGACTCTATGACTCTAATAAGATGATGCCAGGAATGAGGGATTTTAGACACAAGGAAAGGTTAGAGAGATTGGATTTATTCTCCTTGGAGCAGAGAAGATTAAGAGGTGACCTTATTGAGGTGTTCAAAATTGTGAACAGAATTGACAGTGTAAAGAAGGATATTGTGTTTCTACTAGTTGGTATGTCAGTAACTAGGGGTCACAATTTCAACACTATCAGCAAGAGAGCTAGGAGAGAGATGAGCAAAAACTTCTTTACTCAGAGAGTTGTTAGGATTTGAAATGCACTGCCTGGGAGAGTGGTGGAAGTGGATTCCATAGGAGGTTTCAAAAGAGGGTTGGATATATAAAGTTTTGGCAAAGATCTGTAGCTCGGGTTGTGGGTGAGGTTGTTGCCTTGCTCACCGAGCTGGCTTGTTCTCGTTCAGACGTTTTGTCATCATGCGAGGTGACATCATCAGTGAAGCCTCCGACGAAGTGGTGTTATTCTACTCTGCTTGGAATTTATACTGTCCGGCCTGTTATGGTGAGTACTGTCAGTTCCGGTTTTGATCTGTGTGGGTTTGTATATGGGGTCCAATTCTATATGTTTGTTGATTGCATTACGGGTGGAGAACCATGCCTCTAGGAATTCCTGTGCGTGTCTATGTTTGTCTTGGGCTATATGGTTACCTTGTCCCAGTTAAACTGATGGCCTTCATTGTCCGAGTGTACCGATATTAAGGAGAGTTCATCGTGCCGTTTTGCTGTTAGCTGATGTTCATGTATTCTGATGGCCAGTTTCCTTCCTGTCTGTCTGATGTAATGTTTGTGGTAGTCATTGCATGGTATTTTGTAAACCACAAGGTGCAGAGCTGGATGAACACAGCAGGCCAAGCAGCATCAGAGGAGCAGGAAAGCTGACGTTTCGGGTCTAGACCCTTCTTCAGAAATGGGGGAGGGAAAGGGGATTCTGAAATAAATAGAGAGAGAGGGGGAGGCAGATAGAAGATGGATAAAGGAGAAGATAGGTGGACAGGAGACAGACAGGTCAAAGGGGTGGAGATGGAGCCAGTAAAGGTGAGTGTAGGTGGGGAGTTAGGGAGGAGATAGGTCGGTCCAGGGAGGACGGACAGGTCAAGGGGGCGGGATGAGGTTAGTAGGTAGGAGATGGGGGTGCGGCTTGAGGTGGGAAGAGGGGATAGGTGGGAGGAAGAACAGGTTAGGGAGGCGGGGACAAGCTGGGCTGGTTTTGGGATGCGGTAGGGGGAGGGGAGATTTTGAAGCTTGTGAAGTCCACATTGATACCGTTGGGCTGCAGGGTTCCCAAGCGAAATATGAGATGCTATTCCTGCAACCTTCCGGTGGCATCGTTGTGGCACTGCAGGAGGCCCAGGATGGACATGTCGTCTAAGGAGTGGGAGGGGGAGTTGAAATGGTTCGCGACTGGGAGGTGCAGTTGTCTGGTGTGAACCAAGCGTAGATGTTCCGCAAAGCAGTCCCCAAGCCTCCGCTTGGTTTTCCCGATGTAGAGGAGGCCACAACGGGTACAGCGGATGCAGTATACTACATTAGCAGGTATGCAGGTGAACATCTGTTTGATGTGGAAGGTGTTCTTAGGGCCTGGGATGGGGGTGAGGGGGGAGGTGTAGGGGCAGGTGTAGCACTTCCTGCGGTTGCAGGGAAAAGTGCCGGAGGTGGTGGTGCTGGAGGGGAGTGTGGAGCGGACAAGGGGGTCACGGAGAGAGTGGTCCCTCCGGAAAGCAGATAAGGGTGGGCAGGGAAAAATGTCTTCGGTAGTGGGGTCGGATTGCAGATGGCGGAAGTGTCGGAGGATGATGCATTGGATCCGGAGGTTGGTGGGGTGGTACGTGAGGACGAGGGGGATTCTGTTTTGGTTGTTATTGCGGGGAGGGGGTGTGAGTGATGAGTTGCGGGAAATGCGAGAGACCAAGTCGAGGGTGTTTTCAACCACTGTGAAGGGAACTGTTCGAGCTCATCCACTTCACTAACACCTTCCACCCCAACCTTAAGTTCACCTGGACCACCTCCGATACCTCTCTCCTTCCTGGACCTCTCTATTTCCATCTCTGGCAACCACCTGGAAACCGATATCCATTTCAAGCCTACCGACTCCCACAGCTACCTAGAATACACCTCCCCCCACCCACTTTCCTGCAAAAAGGCCATCCCCTATTCCCAATTCCTTCGCCTCCGCCGCATCTGCTCCCAGGATGAGGCATTCCACTCCTGGACGTCCCAGATGTTGTCATTTTTCAAGGGCTGCAACTTCCCCTCCACAATGGTCGAAAACGCCCTCAACCCTGTTTCTTGCATTTCCCGCATCTCATCCCTCACACCCCCTCCCCGCAATAACAACCAAAACAGAATCCCCCTCGTCCTCACGTACCACCCCACCAACTGCCGGATCCAATGCATCATCCTCCAACACTTCCACCATCTGCAATCCGACCCCACCGCCAAAGACATTTTTTCCTCCCAACCTTTATCTGCCTTCAGGAGGGACCACTCTCTCCGTGACTCCCTTGTCCGCTCCACACTCCCCTCCAGCCCCACCACACCCGACACTTTTCCCTGCAACCGCAGGAAGTGCTACACCTGCCCCTACACCTCCCCCCTCACCCCCATCCCAGGCCCCAAGAAGACTT